TGCCTGCGGATCTGCCAGGCCACAGTCGGCACAGACGTTTTCATCTTCCAAGAATTCCTGCAGTGTCGTTCCCTTAGCCGGTGCATCGGTTATTTCTACCCGAGGATGGCGCCTTGCGTCATACAGTGCCGCCGTCAGCCGTTCACCCCCTGGATGGCTTGAACAGTATTTTCTTCGTCGGAGCTCGCTATTTCAGCGAGCGGCGGAATTAATGTGTTATCATGTGGCTTAATTTCTTGTTGTCAAATTTTCGGTATTTGACGTTACATTTTGTTTGATCGCTGAATCCATTACAGGCCTTTATTATGCATGCGATATACTCAAGCTTAATTCCGTATATTTCGTTGCAGAATTTCCTCAATGGATATCCAATATACTCCAATCACCCGCATTTGCTTGGTGTCTTTCCTGAATGTTACCCCTCTCTCTATTATGTCCGTTCAACCAAGACCACCTTTCGTCACTCTGTCAGCAACACCCCCATGGTTAAGTCACACGGGGGTTTTCTTAGCGGCACTTACATGTGATTGGTTTTCTAAATATTCGGAATATAACCATGTGGCTACCTGGAACGTCATTGGCCCGACTGGCATTCGTAGACCCTCACCACACCTTGCGTAGGGGTTTCCTTGGCGCCACTTGCATATGATTGGTCCGCTACTTTGATGTCAGCGGGCGGAATAAAATGAAACATGCTACTCATAATTTAAGTAGTACTATATATTTATTACATTTCAGTTTCTCAATTTCCTAAAGTTTGTGGTTTTAGCATCACCCCCATAGTTAAGACTTTGCATTCGGAACGTTAGGTTGCTTTCATCTTGGTGAACCATATTTTTAGTGCTATATGGCTCAGCAAAAGCAGCAGCATCTCATGAAGCAACATGTTAACCGGGAAATTCGAAAAAGTGTCAAGCGACGTCGTCCGGAGTTCGCGATCACGCGACTTGCGGCGTCATCCCCATTCTGATTGGTTGATACTTAGATGGCCGGGAACATTAAAAGTGGCAACATGGCGGATTTGCGGTTTATGATTGACCCCCTCAAACGAAGCAGAGAATTAGGATGTGGTTGTGTCTTTAAAAAGTTTACATCGCTAACAAATTTATAAATACAATAAACACAAAAGTTTGGGATTCTCGGTAGTTTTAGATAGCTTGGTTGTAAAGAGTGTAATCCTATATTTTGTTCCTAAAGTTAACTATATCTCCAAAGGAAGATGATATTTGGGATTACTGGCGGTAACAAAAAATAATTAGTCAGAACAGCCCAGAATCAGCAGCTGACGCTGGTGTATTGGCTGTTTGTAATCAGCATGGTTCACATATTATGAAACAGTTATTCGTTTGAATTAAAGGAATAGCCTACGTGTAATAGTATATTTTCCTCTCAATGAATCAATTGAACGCCATGCATTCTTGGAATTGTGTTCGGCAGCTAAGGCACCCGATATATTCATTGACTGCTCTAGGTGCAAGACCCGGTGTTTTCATAGGCAGCCCTAACTTTGGTTTATAATGAATGAACTATCGGTGTGCCCTTCGAAGCCAACAGATCAACGATAGAGTCTGTGGTTAGGCCAGAGTTTCAGCCCCGAGTACCACTCATCTGAGTACACAGAATAATATAAACAGCTGTTGACGTATTTAGAGAGCAATGAACGCTAAGCTTGGAATACCACAATTGCCATAACCTTCTGATGCGACTTTCGACGACACATATCAGATATACCTAAAGCAACAGCAACCTATGTCACAACTGTAGTTTTTGAACCCTGAGACTCAGTTGTGGCTGGAAATCACTCGTTCCG